AAACGATAAACAACGTCGCAGTCTCTAATTGTTGTAGAGCTTCAATATTTTCAAAGATTTTCATTAAAGCATTTATACAAATAAAAAAAAAATAATTTGAATTCATATTGTAGAACATTTCAATTTTATCATTTTACAAATTACCTTCTTGCTGCGTAACGACATAATTCCTTACATACCAATAATTAGACAATTTTCATTATTTTCTAAAAATTTTTAACCTTACATTAATAAAAAAAGAAGAATATTTTTATTGCATATGAACATCATTACACAGCTTTCATATCAGTTTCTAAAATTCCTAAATCACGCCATATTCTGTGTAGTAGCATATTAGAATTTTACGCATTAATAAATAAAAAAAATCTAATTTCTCAGAATGAAAGAAAATAATATAATAAAATAAATACTACAAACTTAGAACACTAAGCAATGCTTCACATACGCACACACACACATATTATCAAGTGCAGTTACGATACCAAACATTACGTATTAAAATATGAGGCAAACGTTACTTCAAGGGTTAAAGTTTACAGTTTTGCTACTGTTGAGTAGATCGTCGGGCTATCGATATATATCGTAAGTCGGAAAGCGTTATAAACATATCAAAACCAAACACTTAAAAATACAATTTAAATAACAAATAAGGTGTCTCAAATATGATTTACACTTAACACAATAATACAAATTTAAAATACGCAAACGATATGTTAAACATTGCACATAAATAAAGTTACATTACTGCTCAGCATCACACACAACCTCGTTTTCTCTTTTGCACAACGATCAGTATTCGCTCGAAAAACATCCAAGAATTAAACAAACTCGATGTCCATGCGCTCATCCATCTATTTTCACTTAAAGAAAAATCAGAGAATTGCTCAACCTCGGCATTTCGCGCCACATTGGCTTTGCCCGTGTACACATCGATCTATTTTCACTTAAAAAACATCCCAGAATTGCACAAACTCGGCATCGCACACCACATTGGCTTTGCCCATGTGCACCTTGATCTATTTTCACTTAAAAAAAATCCCAGAATTGCACAAACTCGGCTTCGCGCACAAACTCGGCATTGCGCACCACATTGGCTTTGCCTATGTGCACATCAATCTGTTTTCACTTAAAAAAAACATCTCAGAGTTGCACAAAGTCGGCATTGCGCACCACTCAAAACCGTCTTTACGTCTCAAAACCGTCTCTCTACTAGTTTCATATTTGTTCCACAAATTGGGCGCTTATACGATATTGCAATCAAACTCTTCTCCATACACCACTCAATAACGCTCTTTTTGCCTCTTTCGCTCCAACTGATTAAAAAAAATCCAGATTCAGATACTCATCCATTCTGCAGTAAGCACCGATTTTGACACACTCATCAATAATCAAAAAAACATTCTTTAAGCAAAAGAATTCTCTTCTGTATTTTCAGAAGTTACGGTTATAATTTTTAACTCATGCATTCAATATTTTGAATCGTTTGGTAATGATCGTTTTCAATCGTTTGGTAATGATCGTTTTCAATCGTTTGGTATCTTAATAATGCATTTGTCAGAGATAATTCGTTGCGTTAAATGCTAACACTACCACACACCACACAAAAGTAGATTTATAATTAAAAAAATCTCGCGCAGAACATTATAAACCTACTATTTCAACACAGTTAAAACTTCATTTAAGTTTTCTTTAAATACGAAGTTATAGCATACTTATAACTTGTTTTTAAGGAGAGGCGTAACCAATATTACGTCAAAAAAGGCGTGTCCAAGCATAAGAGAAGTAAACACAGCATCGACTGATGCAGCCTATTCTGCGATTTAGCCGACCTTTCAAACGTAAATGCCTATACATTACAACTAAATTTTCAAAAACAATCGTGGTCATTTCTAGAGAAAGCGGGACTTGTTGAGTATCATGGTCAATGTTTTCTCTGCGTCCCTGAAAGTGAAGATTCCAGCTGTGAGTCATTTACGGTTTAGGCATGCTACACACTTTTCCTTCTATCCAAACTGACAAATATATATGCATATTTTTTATTACAAGTTCTTTATGTTAGAAAGTTTTCTAAGAAAATTTTTTAAATAATATAAGTATCCGAAACTCCTGTAACATTCAGCTGAATTAATACTTTTTAAATTCCTAAAGATACTTAGGTACACGTGAGATGCGAAACAAGAAGAAATCATTTCTTTGTTTGTTGTTTTTCTGTGTTTTAAAACAAATTACTACTCTAATAACTGAAAAATATTGTGTTGAAAATAGTCGTGTTAAAATGTTTGCGAGATCCTTTTATTTTTTGAATCAACAAATCCAAAATACGTTTTTCATTGCAAAATTCTTTAGGCTTCAGATATTTTTGAAATAATATGTTTAATATTTATACAAAATACTAATATGTATATGTATATATAAATATATATATATTTTCACCTGAGAAAAATCTTCGCCGTTTTTAAAATTACATTGAGATGCCTTCAAAACTTTGCCGTCACTTAACTCAGCCACCCGACATGGTCATATAGTTGTTATTGTTGTTGCTGAAACTTATCAGAATAAGTCCACAAATTTTATTGTCGCAAGGAGTCCGCGATTGCGTCAGTCACTGGCAGCGGCTTTGAACACCAGTCCGACTTTGCTCAGTTCCGCCCCAATTCGGAAGGAAGCAACCCGCGGGACGGATCCAAGGGTCTCACCCAGATTTCCCTCTTCAACCAATCTCTCTAAGGACTTTCGGCGCGCCGTATATTTTGAGTGTCCCCATATCGTACAGACACTATACAGTTACAAGCAGCCATGCCTTCGCTGTGATTCGAATCCGGGCCCTTTGATACAGCAGTTATAAGGTATTTCTCCCGCCTTCTTAGCGTGTCTTCGCGTTGTAGTGGTCTCTGGAATACGCTGGATGCGTATTCCAGAGATCCTTGAATCGATTCTCGACGAGGGCGTTGCTTATTTTTCATGATTCCCGCTTTCAAAAAATACCTAATATTTCCACAGTGGAGCCTGAACAAAAGACGGTGGGGGATGATGATTCTCCCCACCAGGATGTGGCAATAGGGTCCAATAATCCCCAGTCGCCCTTCAAAAGGGGGTGTATGTAAGGTATTTCTCTCACCTTCTTAGCGTGCCTTCGTGGTGTAGTGGTCTGCCCCCTGGGCGCGTGTTCCAGAGGTCCGTGGTTCGATTCCTGGCGAGGGCGTTGCTGATGAGTTTTCATGATTCTTGCTTCCAAAAATATCCTAATGCCTCTACACAGTCAGCATCATTAACCATTTTTTTATTTGGATGGCGGTAGTAAAAGTTGCACTGACTATAGCGCTAGGCTGAATTATTACAAAGTAAGTAAAAACAAATAACACACAAGTAAAAATTTTGTTTCTTACCTTTTGAGAGGAATGAGTACTATGAGACTAAGGAAGTACAGATGAGTATCTACCGGTATGTACCAAGCCCACTGCATACACTATATGTAAACAAAAGTTATATGATATAGTTCATAATAATATATTAAGAAATACTCGAACAGGCAAATAAAGTGCAGTTTTAAAAATAATTAGAAACTTTCTTTTTTGTTATTAACTTCATCAAAACTATAATTGTAAATAATTTAAAATTCAGCACAGACTCGCATCTTCAAAAGCAAAAAACTTTTCCTCTAATTGAAGAATGGGACATCCAATATTATTTTCCAAATGAATTCATTATCGTATAAATAAAAATCTTTTAAATTATTTCTGAACATTGCAGTAAATAAATAAATATGCATGAGAATTATAAAAGAATCTATAAATTTCAGTTACATGTAAATTTTACGTTAGATCTGTTACAATGCATTCCTTACATATTAGCGAAATATTTAAAAATAATTCTTTATTTCTGTTACATCAAATATATGCATTTCACATCGCCATTCCTATGAAAGGAGTTGTATCTTGTAAACGTACTTAAAAAGCATATTTATTTATTTTGTATTTAAAATTTAATTTTTAGAAAGTTACATGCAAAATAAATATGTAAATTTAAAAATACTGAGGTACAAAATAAATATATAATTCAAAAGTATTGAGGTGAATAACATTATAAAGAGTAATATCTTCGGAAAATATGGATACGTAAATGAATTTCAAAAACCTGAATATCCAAATCAGAACCAAATCGTATGACCTCAAACGCAAAATATAAATACGAAATTCTGTGAACAAATCGGGTGCTAGATGAATGGATTTATTCAGAATACTTTGAACTATATTTATTTTCAAGTACTCAGCTCGAGAATATTCTGAAACTGATGTCAGCTCCCTTGCATTAGATTAAATTCCGATTTAGATGGCGTATTACTTTAATTACGGTAAATAAATTTCTTATTTAGCTAAAGAATTTTTGCACATATTGCAAATAAATAATCACTTTGAAACTATTATCAGCTGATAAGCCCGATACGTTCACTACATAACTGGATGAATAATAATTGTAAATAAATTATTAATTAAAAGTAAGTTTTCCTATCCAAAAGTTAATTCAGACTACTAAATGTTGTCGAACAGTGCAAAATACGTATCACGGAATATTAGTTTATTCATGTGCAATGGTAAAACATATAAGATTATACAGATAAATTTATGTGATTTCAACAACCCAAACTACTAAATTAAAATGATCTACATGGCATACTCAGTGATAGTTCTCTGAAGGGTAGAAAAGAAGAAATTTGATGTAAAAATTCATTCCCTTAGAAAATTTAAGAATAGAAATAAAATACACGTTTACCAACTGAATTTTAAAAGATAGAAAATACCAGAAGAAAATGCGAAAGTAAATATTCATAATTTATTAAATATTTGCTTAAATACAGGAATTTGCTTCTACAGAGAAATTTTCATTCCAGATAGTAGCAATGAAACTTGTTTTCGAAGAGTTTTTAAGTCTATATATGTAATGGTTTATAAAATATTATAAGAAGGAATAATTTGCTTCTACAGATAAATTTTCATTTCAGATAATAGCAATGAAACTTCTTTTTGAAGAGTATTTAAGTCTATAATATGCAATGGTTTATAAAATATTATAAGAAGGAATTAATCTAATTAAACTAAAGTCCGATAATCCGGCACCGAACTGACCGGCACACTCAATTATCCGTCACGCGTATATTTTACAGAAATGCTACATGAAGAGGCGTGTCAGTCTGTAGCAATCGGTAACTTAGGAGATTTATTTCGGGGCCATACTTATTATGGCTCAGTGTTATGCAGAAAATTCTGTTTAAAAAAAGGTAAAATATCGTCTTCTGATTAACCAGTCTCAATAGTTAAAGCTTTTCTTCGAGCTTTTCTTCGAGCAAATCCTTTAGCCCCACTTTCAAGAAACAAATTTAGTGAATGGATTAAGAAGCCAAGGATGAATGAATTGTGGAAAACTTCGCTGCTGTGAGAAGAAATGAAAAGTGACGAGGAAGAATATTTTAAGGAAATTTTACATTTTATTCAATGATGTTTTGATTAGATGATTGGACAATCAGACTCTGAAACGTTTTCACGCAACAGCAGTAGTAGATTTCAACAATTGATTAAGAATAGTAAATTTAGTATATTCCGTAATTTATCTTGTAGTATGATTTCAATCGTTAAATATAAAGTTCCGTTTTATGTTTGACATTTATATAATGTGTTAAATTATGTTGTTTCTCCAGATAATAATCAGGCATACTTGATAATTCGGCATTATCCCAAAATGAAGTCATTTTCCTCGAAGTCGGCATTATCCGAAGTCCCCAAAATGAAGAATTATCGAGCTTTTTTTGTGTATTAAAATAGATATATTACATGCTGCTATTTAAAAGGGAAAAAAGAAAGAAATGGAAATGTCATTGCACTATATCCGGTAATAGAATTTGCTCAGAACGACAAAAATATCCCTAAGGACTTTAGGAAAGCTCAGAGAAGTCGGTTATTCCCTTTCTAACACACGCGCTCAACTCATTTTCAACCTTGTAAGAAAACTTGTTTTTTTTTAACTTAATAATAAGCCTCTTACAAACAAAGACAGGTTTGAAGCGAATTGGCGCAAATAGTAGTATGATGTCAACCTTGGGTAAATCGTGATATTTCGTTTAGCTGACATATCCCATCCGAAAGAATTCTCAGCATTGTAAAGAAAATACTTATTATTCAATGCACATTTTTATGCAATATAAATTATGATGATGAGGATTGCTTTCAAAGAAGTGCTAATGGGAAGCATAACAACTCTGGCAATAGATGCAGAATTTAAAGAGAACTGCTTGCGTAATAAAAGTAATCAACAAATTGCTCATTTCCTCTAATTCAGGAGTTCTCAACCAGGGGCAAAATTTCTTAGTTTTAAGGGGGGAAACCTGTCATATATTTTGAACTATTAGATATATGCATTTTCTTATATTTATCAACACATTACATAAACGTAGTTGCATAAAAAATTAAATTAATTTATCTGTTTTTCCCAAGATAAGATGATGATTTTTTTTTTCGAAGAAGATTTTCAGCTCAGTACCTTACAAACCTTACTACGTTAAAGCAATTTAGGATGTATTTAGCTTTTATTTTTAATTTAATTTTAGCTGATTTAAACGTTAACACTAGTTAAGATCAATAAACAATATTATAAAATTAAAAATAAATATAACTCCTATTAGAATTGCATATTTAACCAAAAAGTTAAAAATTTCAGTAAACACACACGCATATTTTTTATCGCAAAAAAGAGTTCCAGGGAGAGACAGATTAACATACTTTCCCTATTATTTTGCTAAACCTCATTAATATAATGACAAATTTTAAAAACATTTTAACAAGTTTTAAAATTTTTAATAAATTTCAAACAAGTTAAAACAAATAACTTAAAAAAAGTCAAAACAAGTTTATTACTCCAGCAAATAAAGCTGCAAAAATTTTAATTACTCACTGTAAATTAAGCATATTGTTAAAAAATAAATTAAAAATAATTTTTATTTCTTCTGTATTTTTCGCGGAAACACTAGTACCTTCTTATACAAAAGTGAATTAGATTAGCTATTTTTGTTTCCAATTTAATTCACTCTTTTTAATACTTCAATCATTCTGGATTGGATTGGATTGTTTAATTATGGCAAAGCACACGAGGGCTATCTGCCTAAAGGGAGGGATGACTTCGTGGAGGATTTTCTAATCAAAATTGGCTCGTATACACGTTGCACATGGGGAAAACCACGAAAACGCCCATGCAGCCAGCCCCCGTTCGAGGGATTCGAACCTCGTACCGATCTACCAGTGTTCAGCATCTTTACCGCTCGGCCGTTGGTGAGCCCAATCATTCTAACTCAAGTTAATTCATTGCTATACTTTAGTATAAATCTTAAATAAGTATAAATCTTAAATAAAGAGATAGCCCTCGAGGCTTTGCCATAATCACACATTAATCGGAATCATCACACACATTAATCGGAAAGCAGAGTAGCAATTAATAATATAAAGAAGCAACAGTAAATGTTAATTTGATGTTGAAACTGTAATATAAAATTTAAGATTCAAACAAAATCAAGTAAATTACATACCATATCAGCAGATGGCACAAAATTATTGATATAAATAAGATTTGTCCACCAATTGGCTTTACATTTAGCAGTTAAGTCTTGCTCAACTGTTTCTTTCCATATTGGGCCCGATCCAATATATGGCACAAGATATATTACAGCAATAACCAGCATGAAAGGGGGAGTCAATCTAAATTATTAAGAATAAAAAATGCGATTTAAAATATAAGAATAAATCTTATAAATACCACTATGTTATTTGAATGAAACGGAATCATTAGAAATCTGGATAAAGTGGTTAGCCAAGTTATTTCTTTAAGGAAATGGTTAAGCCTATTTGATACAGAAAAACAAAGAAGTTTTCAACAGTTATGTGTTTTTGAGAAGGTAAAAGACACGAGGAGAAAACAAATTATATCTTTATTGTTCATATAAATTTACATTAATATGCATATACAGATATTTATGGTATTAAATGTTTTATTTAGACTCAAGTTACCTTTCTGTAATAATAGATTTCCTTAATTTCATACATTCATGAGACGTATACAATGTTATTATTTTTAAAATTTTTATCAGTGCTGTAAGTTAAAAAATAAATATTTGCGACAGAAAAATTATTTATGAATTATTTTTTATGATTTGAAGGCTGGAATAAAAATTTTAGAAATAAAATATGTTTTTAATATTTACATCGTAATAAATGTATTTCTGTCACTGAGCTAAATAAAACAAAATTAGCTTAAAGAATGGACTTCGAAAGTGAATACAGTTTTTATGGAAATTCAAAAATATTTCAGGGAAAATTAAAATATCTGGATAGGAAACCGTGTACAGAGCAATAAAAGTACTTGCTTCTTTCAGCTCTCCTTTTAAACGGATAAAAAAAAAAATAAACGAAATTAAAACTGAGGAAAAAAATAAGGGAAAGTTCATTGATAATAAAAATTATTCTTTTAAAACTTGTGATGGCTTATTAATGAACACTTAAGGTTTTATAAACCAAATTCAAAGAAGTACATTTAATTAAAAAAAACATCGCGAATTATCCAATGTAATTTATAATGTTTTCTATTTTTTACAATAAAATCACAGTCAATTTTTAAATCAAGAAATCTGAGTCAGAAATGTCTGAAATTTCTCATCATTAATTTTAAAATATACTCAAAATAAAAATCTAAGATGGCAGGAAATGTTAGATTTCTCTTATTAACTGATATTTATAGGATGGAATATGGCCAAAATTAGCAATGGCGATTCTTTATATTTTTTTAAACAGGGGTTAAACATTTAGTCATGTGATGGCGATAAAAAAGATCCACGAATAAAAATAAAAAGGATTTTATTATTATGAAAATTAAGATAAATTACATTCGTGGCCTCTTTTAACGTTATAATCTTCTTTTGACCTTGCATGTTTTATACAATTTTTTTTTATTTATATAAATAAAGCTCTGTTTTTATACATAAATATACTATGAAAGCAGTTCAGCAACAGTTAGACAAAATAAATGTTTCTGACTGCAAAAGTGCCCTTGAAAGAATATATAATTTTTTCTCGTTTCTTATTTTTATTTCTATAATAGTAAATTGCCGCAGCAAGCGTTTAAGGTCATAATTTATCTCGACCTTGTAATGATCTTTTGATCTTGTAGAGCAGAAAAAATTTTCCCCTTAGTGCATTTAATGCCATAAGTAGAATTTAATTTCAGTTCTAAAATAATTTCAATAAATGAGACTTACCTCCAAAGTCGTCTGGCGATATAAAGAAAAATATTTAACTTCCTTTCTTTCCCTTTCATAACACCATATGAGACAAGAACTGCACTGTAAACACATTTAAAATTCTTAAATGTAAGAAGAAAAACTGAAAAGCTTCAATTAACAATATTATTATGTTACATGAAGACATTTTCCACCTCAAAGATTATTATTTATAAACTTTTCTGTAACTTAAAGACATTTAACATTTACCTAGAATTAATGAATTAGAAATGCAGAATCAAAGCATTGCTATGATTTTCCTTCGAAAATGTAATTAAAATGTGTTCAGGTTTAGAATTTTCGTTGGCATTAAAATCTTGACATAAATTCAGCACAAAATATAATTATTAGTGCATAATCACTACTCAAAATCTCTAAGAGTACGCAAAAGTGCAGAGATTTTTGAAGATCATTTACAAATATTAACAGCTTTGAGATTTGATAGTTATTACATAGTCATTAATGGAGATATGAATTACAAACATTCCCTATGAGGTCAAGAAAGAATGAACAGCCGAGGGAAAATACTGGCAGAGTTTTTTCTGTTGACAAATAGATTTGTGACTACTAATAATAAGTATGATCTTCTGACATTTTGCTCCACTTTGGGGAGCTCTTGAATTTCCGAATGTGTAGATCACTTGTAAGACGGCGGAAGAATAAGTACTGGTTCACATCTCCTTTGACTCTAATCGGCGCAATTCTCGCTATTGGAGAGGTTCCTTTTGAGAAAATAATCTGCATATGGGTGACCGGTGAGGTAATAAGTTAGGAAGGGCTTGGAGCTTCTGATTTCTGTGCCGATTTTTCGAAAAACTGGTGAGTGCGCCTGCCTATTATTATAGCATTATTCCACTCTTCTTGCCACTCGTGGCTTAGATGTTTCTTTAGGATTTGTCGTAGTTGCAATTTCGGAACCTTGATGTTGAGGAATTCGCGTTCTTGGGAAAGAGCTGCTGTTTTTGCCAGATTGTCAGCGGTATTGTTGCCGCTATGCCCTTTGATACAAGTTGTGGTTATTTCAGTATTAAGATGTTTAGAGATTTGATTAATTTCATGGGCCAGGTCAGAACAGTTCTCTGGATTTCGGATGGAGAGTATGGCTGCTTGGCTGTTTGAGTTAATGGATATTTTGGAGAAATTGTCTATTGACGCAATGTTGATGGCAACTTTTATTGCCAAGAGTTCTGCTTGATGTATGCTATTGGAGTTGTTTTAAGTACCCTTTTCATTTTATTTTAGAGTACAGATGTTGTTGCATTGAAAAGAATGCTGCACATTCTACTTTTCTTTCGATTTTTGATTCATCAGTGTAAGCTTCAATTCTTTTGTTTCTTGAGTCGATGTTCTTTTGGATTTTTATTTTGGTATGTGGATCGACTGGATGTTCTTATATAGAGGAGGGCGCTGTTCGTAATCATCTGCAGAATAGATGCAATCCTTGAAGCTTATGCTTTTTCTGAATTGAAGGACTAAAGAGTAAATATCCTCATCAATTGCTTGAAGATACAGAGGCATAATACCTGCCAAGACATTGAGGACTGAGCTGGAAGTGGTACGAAAGACACGCATGATGTTTAGCATAAACTGTCGCTGTATGGACGTTAGCAATTTCTTTTTTCTTTCCGTCATCGACAGGGCCCATATTGCAGCTCCATATGTGACTATTTTTGTGATGACGGTTTTGTATAGGATCTTGCTGATGTGAAGATTCAATCCCCAGTTAAATCCATGCATCCTGCGAAAGTTCTATCCAATTTCGCGGGTGTTAATCTTTATATCCTGGAGATGTTCTATGAAGTTGAATTTTTGGTCGAGCAGTAACCCAAGATATTTTAATCATTTGACGTTTTTAATTTTACTTGTTTCTAATTTTATTTTGCGTTGGTTTGTAATTTTCTATCCCGGCTTATGAATGATCATTACTTGGGACTTGGAGATTGAAATTTCTAATTTATGTCTCTTGCAGTGATGCTGGAATATATTAAGTATTTCTTGGCAATTTTGTTGAAGAACTCTTTGTGCTCGTCAGCTAACCAAAACGACATCGTCTGTAAACGTTATAATTTTGGCGAAGTTGGGATATTGCTGGTTTATGATATCGTTGAACGTGATGCTTCAAATATCTGCGCTCATGCAGGCTCCCTGGGGACATCCATGTGCTTGTGCTCTAGGAGTTAAGGTGTTGTTGTGCAGTATCACGCTACTGCTGTCTTGGAAAAAGTTTTCAATGTTTTTGTTAAGTGGGTAGCGGATGTTGTGGAGAAAATGGAGGATGGTGGGCCACCATAATGAATCAAAAGCATTTTTGAGATCAAGACACAGGAAGTATTTGGTTCTTCGATTGTTTCTCACTTTTACTAGAGTTTGTCAGGTATTTTCGGTACGGTTTATAAGTTGACTTTAGGTTCACGAACATTTCGGACCAAGGAATAAGGCGTTTTATTTACGGAGTACCTTTGTAATAAAATTACAATGACCTCTATATCATCCAAATGAAAACTTAAATAAATAAATGATGCAATAGCTAAAGAACGAGAAGAAAATCGTCGTGGATTGGATCGTTGAATTAGAATAATTTCCTTTGATTTTCAGTTATGAACCTGTGTACAAGATGCTATTGTTAAGTTTAAATAAGCGATATTCTGTAATCCCCAAAAAAATTAATTCAGTTTACATTAAATTTTACGGAGACAACTGTTTTGGCTTACGAACATTTCGGTTAACGAACTGTTTTCAGGTACAATTTAAATTCGTAAACTTATAGTTTAGATCTTTAATCTTACGATTAATTAAGATTTACTTCTGAATCCGAGACACGAATACCCTTAATACGAACAACTTTTAAGCTAAACTGCCGGACTCTTTTAGTTTTTGGCATATTTACAATAAATTTAACTGCTTGAGTCAAACTCTCAAACGTATTAAAATATCTTAAGGTAAAAATGTGAATTACTTAAATTATGTACTTTACGGAAAATTTACGTAGAAACAAATATTCTATTTAAAACTGTATTAAATACGTTAATTATATTTTCAGTATTTTCATTATTAGAATAGGTTAGAATAATCGTCTGGTAGTCGGGGCAAATTCTATGTCGAATGACGATTAACGTCTGTGATCTTAACGATCTAATATCTAACGCTGAATACTAGTAGTTCGGTGCGGGAATCGAATCGGATTGGTTGCATGGTCGTTTTCGTGGTTTTCCCCATGTGTAACGTATATACGAGCCAGTTTCCCTTAAAAAGTCCTCCAAAAAGGCATCCCTCAGCCCTTGAGTGCTTTGCCATAATTAAATAAACCAAACCAAAACTAACATCTGACATTCCTAATTTTATCAATTTCATCATGACTCAAGCATAAATTAATTAAAACTGGAGTGGCAAGATTTTATAGACTTGCGTGAATGTACAAGCGTAATAATACAATACCTGATAAAGAAAAATGTTTCGACGTTTAGGAATCCGTTGGCCATAAACTGAAATGCTATTTCTTTGCCTTTCTCTCTTGCAGCCAAAAGTGCACCTAAAATTTTTAATGCATATTAATAAATATTAATAAAAAACTATATGAAAAACTCTTATAACTTATAAACGTCTTTCATTAATTATACTAATGATGTAAATCTTCATCGTTCACGCGCATTGTAAATTAAATGAAGCTGATATATTCAAAAAATAAAATACATTTAAATAAATATATTAATACTCTGCTGATTTTAAGCAATATGACATTTAAAATAAACATATACCAAATTTTAGTTTTTCAGGATATATAAAGGAGTTAGTGCTGAATAAATGATTAATATTGAAGGTTCATTGACCAATAGATTCTAAATGCGCAAATAAGAGCTCGAAATATATACGAATGTAAAATATCCTTGATTTATGGCTGGACAGGAGTTTCAGACTTTGTTTAGAAGCCTCTGAGTGGAGCACAGCAACCATATCTGTGATTTTAACTGACAACGTATTATTGGTACGTTTTCATGCTATATCTCACTGTTTCTCTTCGTAACATGGTACTACCAGCGGCCAGGTGATAAAATCGCTGAAGACTGGTAGTTCAGTCCGGATCTAATCCCGATGAAAGAGCTCGCTGATTGAGCACTTAAGTGGTTTTCCAAATGTGTAACATGCAGAGAGTCATAGAAAATCCTTCACGAAGGCATCCCTCCTTTTAGGCTGATAGCCGTCCAGTGCAAATAAAATAAACCAAAGCAAACCAGTCTACGTAACATAAGTCAGACGAATGAAACGAAGTGCTTCTGTGATGCATTTCTATGGTTACATAAATTATGATTTTTAACAGCACTAACTAGGGCCTAAGTCAATATTACACTTGCAAGAGAGACTGAAATTCACACGGGAGCTATTCAGATACGTGAGCACATCATTTTAAATAAGACTAAAATAACAAATTTACAGGAATTTTTTAATCGAATTGGATTTATTTAAAAAAGAACCATAGGACATTTTCATTTGCTTGGTTACAGCCTACTGAATTTTTATACTTTGGTTAACAAATTAGAAATAAATTGTTATTTTTTCTAACCTATTAATTTCATTAGTAATAAATCTAATACCTTCGAAACAAACTTCGCTTTAAAATTTCAGTCCCTAAACAAAATATTGCAAAATTCATGCTACTTTGCAAATTTTTCTTTGTTTCAACTGTTGCATGGCATAATATTGCATCATTTCATTTATTCAAAACAATTAAAAAACGTGAGTTAAATTACTTACTGCATCCAGAGAAATTGAGATAATGATAAGTGTGGTTAAGGATAACCCACAATATTGTTATCACTTTAAAGCCGTGAAATATTTTAATGGAGTCAGATGATTTGTCGCTCTTCAGTAGTCGTTCGGTATTTGCATAAAATGAAAAACATAGAAGGCACTTGACTAGAATACCTAGAAAGCAGAAGATATATTAGTAAATTTCCGCTATCATCATAGATGAAAGATAATTGATAAGTGGAGAGAAACTAATTGTAATATTTATTTATAGTATAGTAATCTATAGAGCTTCTGTTATTTTTCATATAACTAAAATATTTATACAGATTCTTCGCTTATTCATTTCAAAATATACATATAAGTAAATTAACAAAAAGGGAAGAATTTTTTTTTAGTTTGCTGTTGTAGTTTTACTCTGTCGATTATAATCTGAACCATACAGTCCGAGCTCGTAAAGTCTGAGCTAAGAGCAGATATTAGCCCATAAATCATCACATAGTTATTTGTAAAAACCTGATTTCTTCTGATTCTCTTTCTTCTCTTCAGCTTTTGAACAATATTACCAAGCTGTGACAAATTAGTTATTGAAACCCTATTAACTATCAGTTCGCTTGGAAATAGCGGAATTGATATCCGCTTCGCTTATGTGCGTGCCCATTATGGTTTCTTTGGAAATGAAAGAGCTGATTTCTTAGCTAAAGATGCTTAAATTTACGCACTGATATCAACATTAGCATTCCAAAAAGCTATTACAATAGCTCTTTGAAATGCTAAAATCCTTTCGTTATAAGAAGTGGAATGAGGAATATATTTCATCTTGTAATGCTGAGGTCACCAAAATGTTCTTTCCTTCTATTTACCATAGACTGCATTCCGAGTCTTTTCTCTCTATAAATTTTAAAGTTTATCAGTTTTTATCTATTCACGGTAAATTTGAAAATTACTTGTTTCGTTTTAATCTAAGATGAAACAATTTATGGTACTGTTCTCAAAAAGAGTACCTCAGGATGTGGAACATTTAATTTTCTCGTGCTCTACTTTTGATGGCCTTTGAACGATTTGAAAATGTTCGGAGTGACTTGGCCAGTGAATTTACGTGTTTTCGTCAAGTCTAAATTGCTGTTCTCTGCTTTTGTTCGCTTTATTTATGTTCGCTTTACTTTTAATGTTTTACTTAACTTACTTTTGTAAGCCCCGCGTTGTACATATGTGGTGCGTGAGGAGTCTTTATGTTTTCAAATAAAAAAAAGGCTGGCTTTTCGGACGTCGAGAAAAGGGAATTGAATCCCTTGGAGGAAAGGTACACTTTAATCTTTTAAGTTCTGACTTTTATTACGTAATTTTTATTCATTTGAGAGAAAATTATCACTGATTTTCTCTCTTCTTTTTTTGCCGAGTTACTTGGATCAGATTAAAAAAAACCGCATTATTCGGATCAGAATGATATGTGATTTTCGTGATGCGAAAATGATTTAGTGAAATTACTTTTTAAATAACGAATACTCACTAGCATTTAACAAAGAGGAAAATCTGATAATCTGATTATTTAAAGACCACAAGAAAGTCTTTTCTTCCCCTTTATCAAAACAATGAAAAGTAAATGGTTTGCCTCATTTATTTACTCAAAGACGGCCATACTTTAGTAAGTATATTATCTCGCAATTCTTAATTCACAATATTAATGAGAACCAGTAAAGTTTGTTTCACTTAAAATGTTATTTTTATGTCCAGTCTGTTTTGTATTTCTGTTTTTTTCCGACAGCTGCACCAGATATGTAATTAGGTGAATTTTAAATAGCAGTGTTTTGCTAATATTTAGGCTTATATTTCGTTCAAAAATTAATAGCCCGATTAATAGGTATTTAAATCTGCTTAGCTATTTTATACTTATTTAAACTTGTATTTCCAGACTCTGAAGTAATTCTAGTCTTGTTAATTTTTTAATTATAACTACAATTTCGTAGTGAATAAAATTTTAATTTGCTTTTACTTGCTTGTACTTCTGGTATAAGCAAGTTCTGCTTGCTGAAGTTGTCTGGTAGAATAAAAAGGTTAACCCCGTGTTCATAGTAAGTGTAAATTAAGCTTAATCTAACACTGGATGCCAGTATGATGGAAGAGTTAACAAACCCCTTTTCGTTAATTTATATTTTCGTTCGTTGTTTAAAAGCCGCCTAATTTACAATTCTAGGGAAAGCGATGAGAGAAATACAGAAAAAAAATACAGCAATGAAAGATACAGGACAATCGAAACCTAAAATTGCCCAGTAATTAACAAAAATCTTGTAACACTTCCTCTAAAGTTGATTTCCAAGGAATGCTTTTCCACTGTTTTACTCAAATTATCATAGTAAAAATACATGAATTTATAATTACCTCTATATTTTCAGCTTTCAAATCAAATTATTTTAGCATCAGATTTCACAAACGATATTTCTAGAAGTTAATGCTAAAAGAATGCTTAAATTTTAGTGACTTACCTTTTCAGTAACTAAAATTATATTGTTTACTTTTTTCCCCCAATTCTTGGAGAAACAAATTATTTTTACGTGTTAGTGATATTTTATATCCTCAAAACTGTATTTATATTATTATTAGATTTTATATCAACATTTTGCTTTTGATTTCTAATATCTAGTTTTAATATTATATTTTAATATTATATATTATCTCTTTTATAATGAATTATCTTAATATTATCTCTTTTATAATGATTTAAGTAAAGTTGACAGTATTCTTCTGGGGAAGATGAAATGACTATAAGTGAATAGTTGAATGCGTAGCAGTGATACCTTTGCGTTGGAGATACACATATTTCATATAGGTCAAAAACATGATAAATTTCTATTTTTTTAGAACCACATACTTAATTTTTCTTTGTATAATTCGTCTTCTGACATCAGTCTCAGTATCACGTCTGTCACGGTGGCAGTGATTCCCAAAAAGACTATCACAGATAGAACACATCTATAAAAATATATAAAACAGCAGAATCATAAATAATTGCTTAAACGTTAACGTAAACATTATTAAACCAATTTATATATTAAATGAAATCTGTTTCGTCCATTTAAAGTATTGACGAATTCACTTCAAATATTTTTAAATAACAACTTTTCAGCAATTCTTTATTAGTTTAAAAATTTGCTGTTCACGATACTAATTAAGGAAGGAAAATTTACCGGCAGTGTTTTTTACTATTACAGTGAACGATATGGTTAACTTTTTATACGATAATCATAATACCTGATACATTAAAAATATATAAAAATAGAATATTCTTACTTACATTATGATTATTTCGCTTTTGCTAAACATTATTTTTTCTTCTTTTGATTCGCAGTGTGGCACCTTGACATCAAACTCTATTCCAATCATTTCCATCACTGTTGAAAAGAAAGAATTATTCAGCTCAGTATTTGGCAGCTTTTTACGAAAATGTTGTCTATAACTAAGAAATACGTATAACGAAGGATGTATTATAAAAATGCCGAGAAACCTATGTTTTTTATTAAAAATTCTGTTGACAGATAAAAATAAAAGGATCGCTCTTGAATGTTAGTTATATACGTTATACAAGCCAAAACCTAATAAACCACGAACATCACATGCAAAATATTTCAGTATTTTATGCAATTAGTATACATATTTTGTTTTGAAACATGGCATCAGCTTTACCAGTGTCGTAGAGGTTTTGACTTCATAAGTGTAACTGATCGCTAAGATGATAAAACCTCTAAGCATTCCGCTCGCTTACAAATCCTGATAAAAGAGTTGTCTTCATGAGCTTTTCGTATATTTTCCCATATGTAATTCTAACATGAGCCAGTTTTCCTTTGAAATCCTTCACTAATGCATCCCTCCCCTCAGACAGATATCCCTAGTATACCTTGTCGTAATCCAATCAGTCAAACAATCTGTCGTTCAGATGAAAAGATAACTCATGCATGTTTGAGAATGCTTTCTTTTTTTATGAATTTTCATTTGAACACTGAGCAGGAATAATATCTTTGGATTAATTGCACATTTGTTAAATTAAGGATAGTGACCATATAGGGTCAAATGGCATTTTTGTTTTTGAGCCGAAGAGGTTAAAAATGTGTAGTGCCTTCGCCAGTATTCGAACTCTGCGCCATATTGGACCATAAGGCACGCGTTAATGAGGGTGATAAACTTTATTAACCGTATCATAAATAATGTTTCTTCTACGTTGTACCGGTGTTCGTCCGTGGGCTGATTTCAACTATGTTGCGGATATTATTTTGCTCTTTCACGTGCATAGCTGCAGGATATAATCATGTACAATATTCAAATGATGTGGAACAACGTTTCTCAAACATTTCTCTAAATGGGGATCTTTTTTTATAAATTAGAATGCTGTAAATTAGAATTCCCGCCCCCCCAATGGCGGACCCAAACCGTTCACAGACATTGCCATTACTAAGGCCAGAAGCAGTGGTCACTTTATTATGAAGGCTCCTAACAGGTGGGCCTCCAGATAAGTACAACCATTGTTTCTCCGGGATACGAACCCGGGCCTTTTGGTATCGCAGTCGACTTCCCTAACCAGTGTGACGTCTGGGCAGCATAAATTAGAAAGTTATAAATTAGAATGATCACCTTAATTTTATCCGCTTCCAAAGTAATTTTTTTAGCATAAACTACTATCAATTTACTAACGCTTTTAAAATGCAATTAATTAAAACCCATTTAATTTTACATTGGTATTAAGTTAACAGAAGAAAATTTATATTTGTTTTCGATAATTTAAAGCCGTTATGGAGTTCGGATATTTTTTTTTTATTTTATTAATTAAAAATTAAATAAAAGCCTGCCGATTTATGCAGAACTGTTCTACGTTTGGATGAATGTTGAAAAGACAATCACAAACAAACGCTTTAAATATTTGTTTTTAAATGCTAAGATTGGGAATTCTGTTGGTAGAGTAATCAGCAATAAATTTCATGAAATGTCAATCTTTTAGGAGAAAAAGGGATAGGCGTTTTCCATGTGTACATTCCACAGTCTGAGATTTTCTTCTATAGTATATGCAGTTTGTTTCAATTTTATTTTTAGTCCAAAGGGATTTGAATCCCGAAGGACTATTAGTTTCGTTTTGGCATTTTGCGTCGGACTCATAAATGTCGGTTCACTTTTCAAACTGTTGCCATAAAATGTTAGAGTCCTGCATTATATTTGAAGAAATTAAATAATGAAAATCTGCGTAAATGTATGTATATTTCTCGTATTGTGATAAAACGACGGTACATAGAGTCATCGAATTTTGAATAACGTAATCTCCAACGAATATGAGCATGTGGAAGACCAAATTTGAAATTTGAAATTTGTTTATGATCGATTTCCTATTTTTTAAAACTTTGACGAATTTTTGATTAACAAACTCAAGGATTTCAGAGCGAGCAATGGCAACGTTGTGCAGAAAAAACATTTTTATCTCCAGCGCGTGAGTCTCTGTATCGGAAATTCTAAAGATATGCTCGTTTTTTAAAACTATTTTGCGATATTGCTGTTGCACTGGATCTTATGGTTTAAGTGCGAGGAACATGATATTATAAAGAAAGGTAACACACAAAATGTTAAAAAACGCCCCTTTGGACGTAATTTAAAATCTGAAACATTTCAGATTTTTTTTTTTTTTTTTTGTCTTTTTTTTAGAAAACTAGCAGTACCACTAGGTCAGGCATGGGGAAACGACTGTAATCCGCAGACCACAGATCTAGAAAAGCAGATATCGCGTGTAGCGCAAGTGTATGCAAATGATCTAAAAGAGACATCAACAGACTAGAACACAAACTGAAGGTTTGGTAATTGCGTAAAAAAAGGATACAATGCTCAAAAACGAACCTTGACATGTCTGATTTCCAGAAGTTCATTGTGAGTTAATTTCGCAAGACTACCAAACCGCTGATAGTTATTCAGAATGTTATTGATGCTCAGTGCCTGACAATTCAAGGAAAAATAAAGTAGCTGATAATGACGAAGTGTTAGTTGATACTATCAATAACAAACGCGTTTTGAAAAGCTAAAAGTGAGAAAGGAGAGTATCGCGATAGGCAATTACATTTCCTGATTAGCGGGGAATATTTAAGAAAGAATTAAAGTCACTATAATCGGAAAATATTGCTTTTAAAGTATATGCATGTGAAATATTGCATCACAGCGTTCTCTTTGCAGAAGTGGTTATAGTTGAAGGATTACGAATTTCACAACAAATTTAAATCAAAGCAACTATTGTTTTATTCTCATGCATGGAGAAGGGCTTTCTTATACTTCTAAAAGAGACACAGCGGACAAAAATTTCATAAGTCCGATCATTGACATCTTATCAATGATATCTTATTTTGGTGTTTCACGTTTTAGAAACTTTAATTAAAAACTATAATTTTAGATGTGGGAATAATAATGATGTACTTAAAATCTTTTGGTTTAGTCATGGTGTGCCCTTACACTTTAGATCCTTATTCAGTATTCAATTCAGTTCTTATGAATTGAAAGAAGAATGAAAATAACTGGTTTACTAATGCTAAATATACCATTCCGTCAGTCTACCAGATATAACTGATATTTAAAAAGTGAGAATTCATAATACTCAATTGCTAAACATAAGTTTTTTATGTGAGAGGGGGCGATTCAAATTCTAAAATTCTATGCCGATCGTGCTGGAGATTTTGAAAAATCCCTTCAAGGCAATTACAGCTGTACGAACGAAACATAACGAAAGTATCATCAACAGACTAGTTGTACATCATTACATCCTGGTACTTTTGGTAATAGCATTTTCCAGCTGATGTTTACCTAACCTTAACAGGAAACCTAAAGGTCACTTGAAAACTGAGAAAACATCTGCTGAAACATATTAAGCTTTTTCACATAACTGGGCCAAACCGTGTTGCGATTTGTTAAATTTTACCTGAATTTAAAAACTATTTTCTCTAAGAAGCGTTTTCAGTGATGGTTTTGCATTCAGATGTACTTTTTAAAATTTTACAGAAGCAAAACCTTGATATTTCTTACTGTGAAAAACTACAATATATGCTTGCATCACACAGAAATGATTTTGAAGGAACATGGAAAATGCCAGCCCACAAGAGACGAATGAATTGTCAGCAAAAGGATGTATGTTGACAAATGAGAAATCAGACGACTTTGAGATTTTAAGTAACATCAAATACCCTAAAAATTTAGTTAATCAATTATCCCACAAATATCCTAACAATTTAGTTAATCAAATATCCTAACAATTTAGTTAATAAAATGTCCCAAAGATCTGGTTCCCTTAATAAACCTGAATTTATGATCCTTCTGAATGAAGAGAACTTAAATTCTCACAACAATTCTGATTTTTTCGAAATACTGCTAAATGAGTAAAGCGTTAGCCAATACTGCAGACAAACTGATTTTGTAAAGCTTAAAAATGAGATGATTGCTTAATATTCTTCTGGGTTTGAAAACGAACTTGCGCATGAACTAGTACCATATATGAATGGCAATAATATTCATTGCTTGATGAGTGAACCTTACAAATAATCTTAAGTCATTCTGTCAATACTATCTCCAGCTGCATAAGCGGAATGATAATTTTTAGCATTGACAAGAATTAATAATTATATCAGAGTGAAGCAGTCACTCTCACGAGGTTAAGCTCAATTAGCATAAACCGAGAAACAGCTCCTTCTAAAAGATGTCCCTCGTTTTATGAAGACGTTATTAAAGAATATACTACTCAAAATAAAAGGGCAGGATTCACGTTCAAATAATTTTAATTTTAAAGAGTGTAATCTAAGTGTTATTTCTAGACTATTGACTGCACCTTAAGCCCCCAGGTATAAACTGTTATTTCCATAAAATAAATAATATGTGTATCTTTTATATATTACTTTTATAAATATTATTCGATTGTATAATGCTCAGGTTAACCGATTACTGGTGAGTTTTAAATTTTTATAATTTATAATTTATAATTTTATTTAGTATGTGTTGTTATATAAATATATTATAACAAAGTATTCAGTCCCTATTCATTAATATAGAACGTTCTTTTTAATTTTCGTATTTAAGAGCATGTCCTTTACGAATAGATAGGATAAGCCCCAACTCAGACTCCAATATTTCAAGTTACCAATATTGCCAATAACCAAACTCAAGTTAATAACATTACCTGCTTGTAATACTGAGTTCTAATATCTCAAGATTGAATATTTTCATTGTTACATTCACGATAGAAACATGATTTATTTTAATCTGCATATGCTTTTAAAAATAAATAGATTTTGCTATATATATAACCTTTTTGACTAATTTAGCAATTTTTTCTTCCTTTTCATCTCTTTACCGTACATAAGCTTACAGAAGTACGTACATCCTGCGATATGTGTATGAAATATTTTCAACAGTGCGAAAAAGTATGCATCGATATACTTGAACTAAATATGTTTTCGGACTCCTAATTTCTGGTTAACTGAACTATATGATACATCTTAAACATAGCATCTTTCTCGGTGTTTCCAGTCTATTATATTAATGGTAAAGGAATAAATTTCTTTCACCAGTTAAAAGTTTCCTTAAATAGCGTGTGTCATCCAAAGTTACAGTGCTCGTCCACCTACGGCTCACCTGGTCAACGATTACATGAAAAGTGAGGATATTCTCCACATATATTGGCAGCCAGATCTTGCGACCTTAACTTTATACATCATGTCTGTACTTTCGTAGGAGAGCAATTTCGTTTTGATGTCCTCCTCTGAGAACCATCTCAGATTTGAAAACTGCCTTGCTGTTGCTGTAGGAGTGGGATCGACTGTCACAAGGATTCCTCAACTGCCTCCTGTCCAGCATGCCGTCACGCTGCTTGACCTGTTTAGCTGTGAGAGGGGACCAATCCCTATTAGACTCCTTTTCGGTTCGATATCGCAACGTGGGTTTCGGATATCCCTGCACTGTGAGCTTCACTGATAATCATGAATATATAAACTGAGTTTTGAATCGTACATCTCTTTCTCTGTTAAAAATGAATATTTATATCAAATGTCCATAAATTCTGCTCATAAATTATTCATAAATTTAACTTAGTGCGAATTCCCATAATTTTGCTACCTGTCCGTCATATCAAAAGAAAATATTTCAAAATTCAAAATTAAATATATGCTGAATATTAATTAAATCTCATAATAAGAATTTTTAAAATAATGGTGAACTTTTACGCTAATAGCTGTGCCTTCTTGTAATAATGTCCTCCAATGTATCAAGACTGAATAATTACATTATTTTTCAATTTGCAATTTAATTTGACAGTGAACACCAAATAAATCTTTTAGTTTGGTAACTGATCTCCTCATATCCCTTTTTATAACTTGAAGTTCGTGATTACGTCTATTATATGAATATGAATGAGTAACCAAGATTAATTCATACCTTGCTCAGCGATTTTTTGCACCTCCTCTGCTGAACATGTAGACGGTACGCAGACTGAAGAACGGAAGCTTAAATAATGATAGTAGTAAGCTTTCTTCATAAATTCACCTACTACCTAGAAGATGAAAAAAATATGATGCTGTCAGGTTAAAAAAGTGTTTTTGACTCTAACGTGTGATAATTTAGTCGAAATTACATCATTATGTAAACATACATAGAGATGTTTATTTTTAATATCTACCAATAATCAAATGAAATTTAATTCAAATTCTAGTATATTTTAATTATTATCATTATCATACATCAAGATAAAACTGATTTTAATTTAAATGATTTATCAGTATTGCATTGCAGTATAAAGGCCTGTTCTTACCAAACCGTCTCTCGTTGCATTAACGAATTCTGGAAGTTCATCATCAGCTGAAGTGAAAGGTCGTCTTTCTGGTACAGGAGGTGAAAATTTGACTGGGCAGTACTGACCTCGGAAATGATTCGGTACGTGAACATTTAAGCATTCTTCATAATCTCCAAGTGAATTTATATTCCCACTCATTACACCGTTTGGTATCTTTCCAGAGGCATCAATCACTGAAAAACACACACATAAATGCCACCATTTCTATAGAAAAATCCCAATGGAAATAGGTAATGATAGCTGCATAAGAGTGATATAGATTAAGGATTTTAATGTTGGCTTATGCTTATACTGTTTACAGCCTGTTAAATAGGGAGCAAGAGCCAATTATATATGATAACGCTCTTCCTCTTTTGATAACTATTTTGCAAATTATTCTCTTTTAATAACTATTTTGCAAATTATTATTAAATTCTGACTTTACAGTCTGAATTTAATTAAGAAAGAAAATTATTAAACCAAAAAAAAAAAAAAAAAAAGAAAGAAAGAAAGAAAAAGTGCATCTGAATTGAAATAGTTCAGCTAAAGGATTAAAACTAATAAGTTTTAAAAGATTCTAATTACAGTATACTTCAAATAAAATCCTGAAATAATTTAAAATTATCAAAAAATTTCAAATATATTTATAAGAATTAAATTTTAAGTTCATGCTTTAAGATGAAATAAGATAAAATTTAAGATGAAATAATACAAAACTGCAAAAATTATACTTCTGACACGCACTAAAATGATTTGCACTTTAACTTGCATATGAACAATGAATTTTGTTGCGCTTTAACCTTGATTCTTCAAGGTAATTCTTACGCAAGAAATATGCGCAGATAAATGTTTAGCCAGCAGCAAGTATCTTTGAAAACCAGTTTTAAGTCCACTTTTTATGTAAACACAAATATTTTATGAATTCCCAATACACATTTTATGACATTATAATTTCTAAATAAAAAGGCTTCATAAAATTATTTATGTCTTAGTAGAAATCTGGGTTTGAGAGTGCCAACCTGTTCATGATGCTTTAATGGTCAAAAGATAATGCTTTTTCGCAATTATTTATGCTCATGAACTTTGTTCACTTTTTAATAAAAATGTGCTTTTAATATATAACAGCCCACATTTAATTTTACTAAAATCTCATCAAACTAACTTCCATGATGAAAGGATTTTAAATCCACGTCCACTGTTATCTAAAATTAATATACTAACGCGAAGATATGAGACATAAAAAGAAAGTGGATAGGGAAATCTTTTTCCATGACATTTAACCTTTTGATAGTCTTCAAAACACAGCTGGCATTCCAGTTGATCAGAGCAGTGGGAGCAGACGAACACAGCTAGCATTAAAAATTTACGACTGAGATATATCCCCATTCGTGAATAATTATTTTGTTGCCAAACTAGGAAACAAAAATTTTTTATACTTAAGGTTAATACGTATGCGAATGACGTCATGATTTAAATTTAATGTAATATAATAAATTTTTATCAACACCAATAAAAGAATTAACTTGGCAATATATCGTGTCAATTATCCTAACCTGAAACAAAAACGTTGCCAACAGCAACTATTTATTTGAAATGCTGACATTAACGAAACATTTTCGACGTACACCGGACGTCACATGCAGTCGCATGCTTTCTTAGCTTCAGAATATGACCTTATATAATAATAATATATTTAATGTTTGGAAATGCTAATTTTATATCATATTTTGTAAAACTTACAAATTTTTGATTAACAAACTTTACGATTTTAAATGGCAGCACTTTTCGAAGTAAAATATTTTTATCTCCAGCACGCGAGACAATAATGAGGATGGTCGAAATGGCTTCCCACAAATTTTTGAAATCGGGGGAACTTTTTGAAATCGAAACTCTACTCACCACCGTTCTGGAGGAGATGATTTTACAAACAAACAAAGAAATAAAACAGACAGTCCTGTCCGTCTTTAAGGCACTGTTTTTCATCCATGTTAATTCATGTTTTCATGTTAATTCGGCTTCACCCCGGAATAAGAATGACCGCATCTTCCGATGTTCAGTTTTTGACTCGAAAAAGGAACTTTCATGGAAATGCTGGCACCTTTATACTCAGCAACACTGTTCTTGAGTAAATTTAGGGTACTACTATTACTAGCTGTAAAAAATCTCTTAAAAAGTACACGCAAGCTTATATAAATAAGATTAATTAATTTATGTTTACACCAGCATTTCATTGCATACGTGATCTCACATTACCTTCCTTAATGAAAAGTTGCTGAAAATAGTCCTTTATCTTATTTTAACGACTTTTACACAGCTGAAACGAATTCAAAATTAGCTTGGCATTGCTGACCATTAAGAATGCATAAATAATGTTCTGATTTAAAGCACTCATTGTGAACTAATCCATTTTACAATTTTTCAGATTACATTTTTCATTTTACAATTTCAAAAGATTGTTAAAAACGGCCTTTGCATATATTATTTTAATTATTACCAGAAATAAAGTTATTTACTATTTAATTTTAATATCAGAAATAAAAATTATTTAAATAAAAGACAAAAGAAGGAAAGCAGTGACTGAGGCTGAGTCTTCTTCTATATTTCTTTTACTGTCGTAATAATTACTGAATGTAGAGAAGCGTTTACTCTTGCTTATAAACTAATAATTATTTTGTCTACATTTTTAATATATTTGAAATGGGGTAAAATAAAACATTCTAAAAATTTATCAAGTCAATCAATTCCTGTTGTAGCTGTTGAAACTCTAATACAAAAGGTTTCCGACCTATTTAAAAATTATAGCTTATACACAGCGGAGCAAGTTCAAACAAAAAATGATAATGCAAAATATTATATTTTTTCTTTTAAACTTTTTAATTTATGTGCACTCTACTTTTGAAATAAAACTAAATGTTTGAAAGGCGTTTAGGAAAAACACGTCTAATATACTAAATTGGATTAATTCACTGCGATATCAGCATCTGAATGATCTATTATTGTCCGATTAGCACGCTATTTGTCGAAGTAACTAGAAGTGGTAATGATGCGTTCATAATGAAATACAGGAAATAACCATCATATACCAACAAAACAATCAAGAAAATTTAATCACTAGATGTTAAGAAACTATCAGGTTAAAACCTCTTTCGTGACTTTCGTTCATAAGGAAGTTAGATTAGGTTTAAATAAATAGATGTCACTCCATTTGTGGAAAAGATCTTTTCCTTTTTCTGATGGATAATTTAATTTGTTTTCACCTTCCGTGACATATTTTAACAAGAAGACCATAAAACACGTAGTTAAATTTTCATCTTTTTTTTTTTTTTTCTTTTTTCTTTTTCAGAATGTTTTATTTAAAACTATCTATGAGACTTATATGCAAATCGTAACTTTTTCAATTTAAGACGCTTTATTTTTATAACTAACTTTTTTGTTCCTTTTCAATATCTCTGTTCGTAGTTTATATGCTGGGTGATTATTAATATTTAATATTTTTAGCAATTCCTTGAATTCATAATTTTGATAATTAATAAGAAAAATATTTTAAGGAAATTAAACGTGATATTAAGAATTAGCTGAAAAGTGAGTTTTAATAAGAAAGGAATAGCATCAAAAAATGATTTTAAAAATACTTAGCGTTCAATTCAAAAGAGATAGACAGAATTTTAAAATCATTCGAGAATTAGAGCTAATATATAGACCAAAAAATAGAGTAAATGCCATACGATTACTAATATGTTTCAAAAATAGAATTTTGGAAGAAATTGGTCTGCGCAACCTTGTTATGTGAGATTGAAACGTTTTACACATGCTTTAAAATTAACTCTTTGTTGCTGAAATATAGGGTTGTTTCAGTTCGGTGTCTCGGCATTAAAATTGCCTTTGCCTTTATTACATTTCCTTATTCAGAAGATTTATATACATTTCCTTATTCAGAAGATTTAAATTCACATCACCTCTTATACTAATATACTTTAGTCTCGCTAACAGAAAGTTATATTTGCTTTTTGCATGGTAATTATCAATAAGAAGCAATCTTTGTTCAGTGTTTTAGAATTAAAAATTGTCTTAATATATGTATGTATATATATGAACATTTAATCCTTCAAAACTAATGATCAAATAATTAATAGGTAATCACATTTCTGGTTAAAATAAAACAATAATTGAAATCTTTTTTTAATGACTAAAATTCGCTTTTTAGTTATCTTCATTACTAAGAATTTAAAGACTTAATCCTGAGCAATGTTTTTGATTTTCATTAACAAAATTATGTATTTTAGCTTAATATTTCAAATTTCACTTGGTCGTTTAAGAAATACGAGAAAAGAGCCAAGTAGTTTTTTCGTCTAATCCATTTTTCCGAACATTAAACGTACTTAGAAAAAATATGCTACAAGTTTTCATGCAACTTCGTAATTTCTCTATCATGGTAAAATTATTAAATTGGTTTTAAGTAAGTTTTAATACTTCAATAACGTTGTTAATATAATGCATTTCTTCTAATCTATAGACGATTTAAAGAATTATTATCATAGACAGACATAATATGTATTATCATCATATCTTGACGTTTCCATGTAAATGTAATATACTAAAATACTTGACAACAGTGGTAAATTTTGCAAAGCAAATAAGCCTAATGTTTTATACTTTTGAATTTCGTAACACTAATAGAGAAAATATTCTAATAAATGAAACTGGTTTGGAAATTATGTATTATAACTAGACTATGAAACAAAAAACTGCAAGTTAAAAATTATTTACTGAAGTACTTTTTGTGTTATTGAATGAAGTGGTTTAGGACAGACCTCATCTCAAAATAATGCATAGATTTGTTAAGTCAAATTGAAACATTTAGAGTCATTGCAAACTGAATGGGAATATGATAAGCAAAATATTTATGAAGACATATACTCACTTCTATATGCCCAAGTTTTAGTCTGTTTGATCCCATTTAGCATGGTCATTAGTCCTCGAGTGCATTTTGAAGACAAATTCAAATTCTCTGTTGCTCGCAAGGCATAAGGCAGAACATTTTTCACAAATGTTGCTGACATTTTTCTTACAACGTCTTCTACTTTTCTCCATTTCTTCACCGAAATGTGCACATCTTCTTTTAGTTCAGACGAGGAAGTAGTAGTATTTTCTAGGACAGTGGGCGTCGATGTAACATCGGACATAGATATACATGGTGCAAGACTTAAGACAATAAAAATAGCAAATAAATTTAAGTTCAGTATTCTCATTATTCAACTCTTTCTAACAAACTGCGTCAAGCGAATGCACCTATAAAATGGCAAGAATAAAATTCTATTTTCAGGAATTGCAGCTTACCGTGAGTTCGTTCAGATTTTTAAAATGCAATATTATTGTATAATATCTGCTAAGAAATTGTATGAATTGGCAAAATTTTATACAAATATGTAAAAATCATCTTCCGTGACGAAACTGTACAAACTGAAATAACCTTAACTTAATAAACTGAAGCCCTTATACATAAGTTTGCTAACATTAAAAAAAATGCTTTTAACAATAAAATAATAAAATCGATGTGAATTTAAAAAACGAATTGGAGTGCCAGTTAAATTCTGAGCAAACGGTACACTGAAGAAGTAAGTTTAGAAAACGCGTGATGGAAAATGAGTTACAGAAACAAAAATCCAAGCATTTTAACAGCAAGCGTTTAAAAAGGGGATGTCGCGTTTGTTAGTAACGGAGGGGGTATCGCGAGCGTCAATATTTTGAAACTTTTCATTGGCTGATCCCGTAGCTTCACGTCAGAGGATAGTGCCCGACCTTCTACTTTCCTGCATTTATAACTTTCACAACAATTTTACAACAACCGGCAAAGTCAAGGTACTGACTGCGTGAAGAAGCAAGCAAATTACCTAGCAGCGAACTGGTTCCTTTTTTTATATATATATCAAAATTCTTGTTAAACCGCTCTGCAAAAAAGAATGCAATTAATAAACGTGATACTCCGCAGGCTGAGAGTGTGGTAAAAGTATTGCTGTTCGTTTGTAATGAAACTTTCGTACTTATATTCAGATGGAAAACTGGAAGAACCCTTTGCTGTTACCGCTGCAGTAGAAACTACAAGATATGAAAATCCTTTGATGTGACATTTAACAAAAAAAGAAAACAAACGGTGCGTTGTCTTAATAAAGCGAAATTTACCTGACTCATTTTAGCGAATACATTTCAGATTTTTAGAGCAATACTTTTTTTCTTTGTTTCTTAGTTCCAGGTCTTTTAAGTCAATTATATTTCAGAAATATGATTGAACGTACATTAGCTTATCCACTTTTTTAGTGTTTTACCTAGAAATTTCTGAAATATTCTTTTTTTTTTCCCCCTATTTTGGGATTTTCTTTTAAACATTGCATCTGTTTTTATATATTATTTCGTATTAAAATCTGTTAAATAATAAGTTTAAATTTCATTTTTAAATAATTCAGATTAATATTTATATGGAAACTTAATTTGAGATATGCTCATTTATTTCTGAAATTTTCATATGTTATCATATGTCAAGATTTCTTTCTCTGTTGTTCAATTTTTTAAAATGTTCCAGTTTAAATGTCTTTCTTTTTTTTCTTTATAGTTGTTGTTGTATTCGGTATATTTTATAATTCTGTGCATTTCAGACCTTGGAAATGTCATCCAAGGTGTGCAAAAGAAAATTAAAAAAACTGAAAGCTTTCAGATTTTATATTACGCCCAGAGGGACGTTTTTTTCACGAGGTTGGGGAGTGATACAGACATTCAGAGTCATTCGTCTCAAAATACCGTTAGATATTGTAACGTCTTTGCGCTCGTAAAGAAACCTCGCGCATAAAATAAACGTGCTTGAAAATACACACGATGTTATTTTTAATATTTGAGTGGAGCACTACGTTATTCAAAATTTGATGTCTCTAGGTACCGTTGTTTCTTCACAATGCGAGAAACATGCATACATTCATGCAGATTCTTTATTATTTATTTTTTTAATGCAGGGCTCTAATATTTGGTGGCAACAATTTGAAAAGTTATTCAGACTTTTATAGTGAACCAACGTGAAATGCCAAAACGAAGTTAATAGCCCTTTTGGACAAACTACCTCTTTGGGCTTTAAAAAAAATAAAGAAAGAAAAAGGAGTAAAAAGAAAACGAAGCAGGGAAAAGAAAGAAAGCGAACTGAGCGAACTTCGCATTAAAACGCTCTTATTATTAATGTGTGTATTGTGTACATAATGTATTATTAATGTATAATCTCCAGAAAAAATATTTTTATGACATGCTCATTCGGATTTTACTCAGACTGCTATTTTCCTTATTTTGAACATTTTTCTGTGAATCCATTAAAGATTATTAATATAAAAAGGTCTCATTTAATAATATATCGTTACGAATTTTATACATATGCAAATAATTTTGGTGAAATTATATGTGAAACTGTAATATCTTTTGTAAAATGTAGCATGAAGTCTGAAGAGAGCAAGCGCTTCCGGAAAAATTAGATCACAGGGCAAGTCTATTTAACATTGAGGTAAATGGCTGTCTCTAAATTCGTGAGATATCGCCAAGCTGGCAATGGTTTTAGCGACTAATATTTGTCGCCAAACTTTGGTCAGAAATAGCCAAAAGTCGCCAAACTTGGCGACCATTTAGGGACATTTGGTTGGATTCCTGCATAATTGTAATTGATAATGTAACTGAATAACTGTAATAATTGATTCCTATACTTTTCTTATAATAACTGTAACCTTATATGTATTTTTAAACGTATATGCCTTTCAGTAATTTGGAGAATCTTGGTGGCCGGGTGAAAACTATATAAGCCAGGAGAGAGCATCATTTTTAGTTCAGAGCTGACCTTGGCGTACTGCTAGCTTCGCTATGCATTGAGCTGTGTTTAACGTTCTTCATAGTTTGAAGTGTAACTGATTGTACTCTGTGATACTGAAATGAGCTGCATAAGTAGTTTTGTGAAATGTTCCAGAACTGTAAAGGGTTTCTTTTGGTAAAATAAGTTTCATTAACCTATCATCGGTAATATATGCATTCAATCTATTACGAACTCGTACGCACGTAACAATATGCTTTCCTTTCCCTAATATTTTAGAGATATATTTTAGATTACAGCATGCAAGTTTATCATATGTTTATCATCTGCGCTGTCCTTGTACATTCGTTTCGAGGAAGAACTGTAGTACTTAAATTGCAAAATAGATAACACAACAATCACTTTAAATTATTGAAGTAATCAGTTACCTTGTGATTGCTTATCTCTGAATAATATTGCTTATCTCTGAATAATATTAGCATTAATCAAATATTTTTGCTCTTTATGTTAGAGTTTCTGAATAACGTTTTCATTTCAATATGAGCTAAAACTTTACTTATTTTCTTTATTACAGCTGATTTTAAATAAATAGAATAGGAACTTTTTCATATAAAATTATTTCTATCAAAATATTATAAAGATCTTATTTAAATTTATTGTGGATATAAACTGTAGACAGACTTAATCTGTAAAGTTAAACATCCGGTAAAAATATAGAGTTAAGCATTCACTGAAACCATCTCATTACTCATAGTGATAAACAAGTTTGATCTTATAGAGATAGTTAGTTACCTTAGAAAACCTGAATACCGTTGATGTTCAACAAATAATTTAATTATATTCTTACATTTATTAAATGCTTTTTGTTTAGTTGAAAGAGTAAAATGGATTTACAGTAAATGTTTAAATGAAGGGATAATGTTTTAATTATAAAGTTCAGTGTTTTCAGCTCAGATCAATAAATTATAAAATATTGTGTACCTAGATGTAGGTCATTAATTCATTCCATATCCTTGACTTATACCAAACAAATTTTTCCAGTAAGAAATAGAAGTAAAATAATTAAGCCATTCTTAAAAAAATTAATTGTTATTATAATAACACTGTTTAATATTAAAATACAAATGCTGTGGGTGAAATACATAATTCAAATGACTGAAATAGTATGCATACATTTTTTTCTGTTATCCACATGGAAAGCAACTTCTCAACATGCTCTAATATGTTTGATCTTTCTTTGGAATCCATTTCACCCCCCTCGCAACGTACGTTAGCCTATTTAATAGCATCTTTGCTTTTCACAATCATACATACCGTCGTTTTCGGCATTAAATATGGAAAAGTCAACCTCTGATACAAACTCTTTTTTCACCTCCACTGTGATGTGATTCTGTTTTCTTCGCTGCTTTGACTCTTCGCAGCAACTTTCTTAAAACTCACTGTGAAAATATTTGCAAGACATTTACGCGAAGAACACAAAAACCAAGTGAAAATTCAGAGCTATAGCTCGGGTTGTGTACTGAATCATAGGTAAAAGGCGTACTCATGCTCATGGGGATTTGTTGCAACTTCTCGAAAAAGGTAAACAATCGCAGTCCGCGCAGTCGGAAATCATCGAATTCAAGTCGTTATAAATATTGTATACCAAAATGCGGCAAAGTGAAGAAAAGAACTGCTGCTACACATAATAAATTTTCCAATTTCAGTGGAAGGAAAAAGAAGGCTCATTAATTCTTATAAATAATAAATATTTTTCAAAAATTATTCTTTTTTTTAACGCCTTGTCGATTTAAATCAATCTTGAAAACAGAAGGGGACACCGATCCATATGGCATGACAGTAAATTTTCATTTTGGAGAAAATTTAATTTTTCTGTATTACATTGCTTACTTTTTACCTCTGAAAGGGACGTAACATTTACAAAACCCCCATGATGCAATTCATTCACGAAAATGCTACTCTTACACCAAAAAATGCGTTCCTGCTTTGAGTTAAATCAGTAACGTAGTAAACTTAAAGGTTTCCTTTACGTCATTGCATTTTTCGCCAAGCTGAAATGCGGCAAATGCCATTTGTTGTCGAACATGAGCCTCTGCAAAGTCAACTGGTTTTTCTGGTACTACAGTGGTGGCCAAAATTGTGGACACTTTTGGAACTTTTTATGTTTTTGAACTTTGTATGCTTATAGAAAATGTTACGTTTCGCAAAATGCAAACTTGTATATATAATTTTAAAGAGAATTTATTACTGAATTCAAAACAAAACACAAAATTCAATTATTTGCAATACAAAAAAAGTTATGTGTACTTTAATATAAATAAAAAACACAGTTATGAAGTGGTTTGTAATGTCTAGCTTTCCTGGCCAATCACTGTTCTGAGAACCAATCAACCTGCCAGTAGAAGGTGACATCATGTTTACACTTAAAACAATTCATTATTTTGCTCTGTTCTGTAGAAGGAGGACCTACACTGCAATTATAAGTAGGAATTTTTGTAAAAATTTTAATATTTAGTCAAGAAGCAATGACATCAAATAAAAGAGTAGATTGGACACCTAGGAAGAGATGTAATATTATTGTGTTACGAGAAAGATGTCTTTCCTATGCTGAAATTGCAAGACAGGTGGGTGGTTCAGTGACTAGATCTGGAGTCCGAAAATTTTGTTTACGAAATCAGGAGACAAATTCAATAAAAAACAAAGAAGGAAAAGGCCGAAAAAGGTGCACCGCATCTATTGATTACAGAAGAATAAAAAGACTATGTCTCCAAGATAGAAAAATGTCATCAGCGGCCATCAGAAGTGATCTGAATGATGCTGGTGTTTCTGTCAGTTCAAGAACAATCAGGAGAAGGTTACCAGATGTTGGACTGAGAGGTAGAATTCCACGAAAAAAGCCTTATCTTAATTTTCAGCAACGAAACAAAAGACTACAGTGGGCTAAGGAACACATTAATTGGACAGCTGATCAGTGGTCACAAGTTATATGGAGTGATGAAACTAAGATATCGTTATTCGGGCGAAAAT